TTACAGCAGAGCTTAAAAAAATGGGGATACCATGTACGGAATCGCCCGTTACCGTAATATGAAAAAAAACATTCCATGAAAATCTCAAACAGTGCACTACTGGTTCTGACAAAACGGTCGTCCTTTTGATGACATTGCACAACATGAAAAATTGTTCTAGAAGTTGCTTTTAATGCGTGGGAAGTATAGAGTCGATCTACTTGACGCCATTTTGCCATTCCAAGTTGACCGCATTAACAACAGTTCTACTGGTCGATTGCGTCCTCGACGTGGTGCAGTCGGTGCCGCTGAATGTACGTTATGCCGCACATCTTGTTCTAGAATTTAACTTGCAGTCGAGCAGACCAAGGACCCTTCAAACTTACTGCTGAAGTTGGCTTGAGAGAGCGATGCTGCAATCAAGAGAAAATGGAGTGACAGTCGTAATATGTATAAAGCTGCTTATTGCACTCGTCACAAATTATAGTGAAGCATCGAGGTAGTCTTTAGAGGGACGCTATTGGAATCCCCTTTGGCACCAAATGGCGTCACAGGCAGAGACTAGGATGACGTGTTTGTATCATACAATTTTTGATACCAAGCTAACGTTTACTGAGCATATACTCAATATCTCGTCGGGTGCCACTCGACTACTTGGTTTCTGTATCAGAAACTGGAAAGGTTTCTCCAATGTTGATACATTAATGACTTTATTTTTTACTTTTGTCAGGAGCAAGTTAGAGTATGCGACTCTGATCTGGTCTCCTATATACCAAAAATCTGTCGTGATCCTTGAGGCTATTCAACGTAAAGCTTTAAAGTATTTTCATCTTAAATGCACAGATTCTTATCCAGAAAGAGGTTGTGACCATAGTGCCCTATTAGAGTTGGATTCACTGTCAACAAGACGAAACATATTTGCTTTGTCGTTTTTGTATGGCCTCATTCACAATAAAATTGACTGTGAAAATTTACATGAAAAAATATGTTTCCGCGTTCCAAGGCTAGGGAGTCGACAACAAACGGCATTCTATTGTCAAGCTGGCCGTACAAATGTTATGACAAAATCGCCAATTAATCTCTCTCTTAATGTGCTGCGTCATGAACAGTGTTACTGAATCGTGCGATATTTACAGTGACAGTTGTGCATCGATTATCAACTGCTATAGATTATCCAATCTTATTTAGAATGTGTGATACTATAGATTTAAGTCCAAGAACCATGTCTCTTTAATTGTTATTTTTTTCAGCATTTCCTGTAATTGGGTTTCACCTGTTGGAAATAAATAAATAAATACAGGTTTAGGTGTGACTCAAGGTTTATGCTTTGTATATGTTGTAGCCAGAACCCATAATCGGTCAAAACCACGTTTGATTAATCTAAGCGGTCAAAACTGCTTTTGACCGATGCTCTTGCCCAAAACCACTTTTGGTTGATTTTGGGGTCAGACTATCGATCAAAACTCATAGTAAGTTAAGACAGTTACGGAAAATTACCAGAACAATCAACAAAAAGTTAATCCAACTATTTCTAGGGTGCAAAGCAGAAGTATTTCGTCCATATACAAATTACTTGACATGGTACGATACCTGTAACCTATAAACAGAGTTCAATTATTTTTCGAAGGTAAAAACCATTTTATATTTTACTCTGTAGATGATAAATCTGTTCGCGTCTGTGGGATTTGGTACGCTTTTATTCATACTGGCTTATTAGTTAGTACAGGCCGAATCGTATACCTGTCAAGAAGAATCAAATGAGGGCTAATTCAGTGCGTCGGATCGACTTATTACAGAGTACAACCTCCCATCTCCATCATCAGATCATTTCCAACATAATAATATTGCATTATCATATCTGAAGTCCGCCATATTGAATTTAGAATCACGTCGATTAACTTATTGCACTTTGGCCTTTTTATTCAATACCCATAATATCATATTTTGCGGCAGCCACCCTATGGTATTAAGTATGAGGTCACGTTGCTTATTACGTTTGTCTTATTAAACCGTTTCACTTGATATACATACCATATTTTGGCTATGGAAGTTATAGATCGTCATATTGGCTTCGTTCGCCATATTGGCTTTAAAGTAACGTTGATCTGTTTACTGTGTTCCTCTCGTCACACCCTGTCATCTGATATCTATATCATAGGGTTGACTATGGAAATTATAGATTGCCATTTTGCGGTGGCCGCAATATTGAATATAGCATGACGTCACGCTGCCTATTATGCTTCTCTCATCACTTTTATTTGATACCCATATCACACGGGTGACTAAGGAAGTTATAAATCGCCGCTTTAGCTCATTTGTTTAGAGTTAAGTGGTTCAAAATCTGTTACAAGATTTGGCCCGCACTAACTAATAGGTTAAGTTAAATAAAAGCTTGTCAAAACCCACAAACGCGAACAGATCCATCCTCCACATACTAAAATATAAAATCTTCTGCCCTACGAAAAATAATTTAGCTGTTCATAATTTACAGATCTCGCTTTACACCTAAAAATGGTTGGATTCATTCTTTGATAATTTCTTTTGTCTTTCTCTGGTAATTTTCATTAGCTATCCTAACATTTTTTGAGTTCTGATTGATCATCTGAACCACAAATCAGCCAAACCACTTCAGATCGATTTTTGCTGTCAAAAGTTCTTTTGACCGATTATGAGTTTTGAGTACAACATATACACCAGTAGCAATTAGGAGCCCTTAGTTCGGTACTGTATCTTGCTTTCACAATGTACTTACCTATGAAACGTTATGACTGACAAACTTTTGGTAATTTATACAGCGCATCATCAGAGAACAAGACACCATGCTCATTTGCACACAAAGCCATGAAAATAATCTGGAAGCAAATATTTTTCATAAAACCCGGCAAAGTTGTGCTCAAGACAAGCGCACGCCTCTTTGACAGATTTGTACGAGAAATGTCTGGGCCTGAACTCGGACCAAAGGTATTACACGATATTCCCTTGAGTCTCTAAAGGAGCTTCCAAGATTCTTAGATGGTTAGTATTACAGGGTATCCTTGAAGTTGAGACTTCCCTTATTACAGCGTGTAGTTCAGGTGATAATTAATCAGTTTTTTCAGTAACGGGCCAGCCCGGCGCATCATGTGAGATACACGATTGCAAACCCGTAAACAATACGTATTACATACGTCTTTATATTCATGTATACCATGTAAGCCATATAGACAACGTAAACAATAGGAAATCATAGTTCAACCAGGTCGCTTGGATATGTGCAATGCCTGTTAAGTGCATCTGCATTTATGAAGGATGCTGTGGGACTTGTTGAGCAAGGACTGCAGTTTAAAAGCACTGTATAGTATATATAAAATATACACTAGTATATTTACTGATTTGAACTGTGCTGGTCTCAGGCAAGAAGTTATTTAAAATAGCGCGTTACGATTCGACTGAAGTTAACAAGGTATCATTTAACATATTTCCTCACGTATTTGTATTTAAAGAACCCTAGTTCATCAATCTTGTTCTTAGTGCGCACAACCATATTGCTTTTCAAATCTCGGCAGGAGTACTGCGTTACTTGAGTCGGTTTTATAACAGTATGTAGGTTTTTTATGACATTATGTAGGCTTTCCAAGACGTCAACTTGGAACTAGCTGTCGTTCTCTTCTGCTCACTTGTAGCAAGCGCGGAATGAACTATTTGCACAATAGCCTGCTTAGTGCCGCATCGTCAGTCGTTCCTACAACTGTAGGATGCCTTTATGACATCCTGGTTTTTTCTGTCCTTCAGAAAGGCGCTCTATTTTGAGGCTATGTTACAAATACCTATATTTATACAACAAATTGCTCATGCTTTTGATTTTTGTCATCTGTTTTATCAGCCTGAAATTTCCTGCGGTTTAAAAAGAAAACATAACTACGAAAGCGCTGAAAAAGAACATTAGAAGTCTTCTGGAAGGAGAGAAAAAGCTATGAAAATCAATTGTAGGACGCCTTTATGGCCTCCTTGATTTTCAGAGTCTCCAACTCTTCCGCGACAGAGCTTTATTTTGAGGTTATGTTATTTGCATCATGCTTTTGATCTGTATCATCTGTTGTATAGCCTGAAATTTCCTATGATTCAAGAAGAAAGCATAGCCTGACAATAGGAGAGAGCGGAACAGTAGAGATAAAAAAATGTCCCAGCTTTTCTGAAGTAGAGAAAAGGCTATGAAGATCAAGGAGGCCATAGAGGCCTCCTGCAATATTGGGTTCGTACCAACAAAGCTGCGTACCGTACACTGTACCGTTACGCACGTGCGTAGTCCGCTTGAAGCGTTCCAACACAAACCTATGACGGTTCATGGGATGCTTGATTCACTGTTCCAACAGATCTCCGATAGTTCAACGAACGGTTTTAGTACAGTCAAAACAGTACCTGGTCCGTAGCGAGGACTGTGAGTACACACATGCGCATTGAATAGAAATTAGAATGTTGAAATTTGAAGGTTATTTTTGGGTTATAAGGAATGTTGTTTTGCCAAGGAGAATCAAAATATCCTATCTTATCTTATCTTGACGACTATGGTGTTGGGACGTATGGGGCTAACTGTTTTCTGTTTACAGAACTAAACGAGTTTCTTGTTATGTCAAATACAAGTACTCTGCAGAGCGAGAGTACCACGGCACGAGCACCAGCATTCAGATGGAGTCATCAGGCAACCAAAATTCTCATTGAGGTTTATGGAAAAGGAAGCTAGGTTCCTTCGACGTCAAAAATTCAAAGATGATGTGGTGCAAACATCACAGGCTTTACTAGACTATAATATTGAGGTAACGCCAAATAATTGCATGAATAGATGAAGGGTACTGGAGCGGAACTATAAAAAAATATGTTGATAACTAAAGACAAACAGGTAAGAGGACTCCTAAAGCTGAGTACTAATTGAAATTGCCTTTTAATTATGAATCCAATGAGATATACCACAGTTAGATGTAAAAGGTATAGCAACTTTGCATATGCTTGGCAGGATATAATTTATTTTTTTCTATAATTTTAAGCAGGGGAAGAAATTTTTTTGAGTATAAGCATGAAATGGAGGAGGTATTTCTCAAGAAAAAAAATATCCGTCCTGAATTGCTGCTAGCAAGTGATCAAATAGATACTCAAATAGATATGAACAGTGATGATGCTATCACTACAGCTGTGTCTTCACCATATAAAAGCGTAAGCAGCCCAAAATCATTGCAGTGACACCACAGAAAAAAGTCAGATAATTCGAAAAATACAAGGTATTATGGAAAAAATAAGAAGTGATGGCAAAACGTATTATAAGGAAAAACTACAAATAGAAAACTTAAAATCAGAAGAAATGAAAAAAGGGAACTAACGGAACGAAACATTATCCTTAAAGGAAGCAGTGTCACCAACTCCTAGCTTTACTGCATTTTGCCATTAAAGTTAAGTCATAGATTATTATTTTTGTTGTGTTCAGTATTGCAATATTAATTTTATATTCAAATTTGATTTGTGTTCTAGTTTTATATTGTTGCAAATGAGTAAATAAAGTTCATACAATTGGGGATGCACTCTTTTTACAGTACTCTTCAGGACCTTGTAGAAGAGGGTCTTAACCTTAATTAGATACTCAACAGTTTTGAAAATATTTTTCTTACATTTTGTAAGTATCGATGATGTCTATTTAATGGGTATGCAGACGTTAACTCGTTCATAACTTGAGTACTTAACATAACATCAGAAACAAGTTACTAGTGACCTATGTGTCAAGTGATCCCAGTATTCCCAACAAAATGGACACAGTCTAAAACTCTGTTTGTAAATTATTTAAAGTTGACCATTTCCGAGTTATAAGCAATTTATGTCTGAACGTCCCTACAAATAAGCATTTTCTCCGTTGAAACTTATGGTTTGCGTTGACAGGTGTCTAAATCAAAGTTAAAACCTTCCCCTACCACATACTGAAAAGTGTTTTGGGATTAGTTTATTTTAAAGTTATTTATAAGCTTGTTTGGTAGGCTGAAATAGGTGCAAGTGTCATTTAAACAGGGTGTACTATGCTTGTTTTTGACTAGTTTTCAATCGTGCAATTCCTGTTGCAGTATCTCTAATTAGCTTTGAAGTGTGACATTTATGTTGTGATGGGACAAAGAATTCATAAAAAACTTGTCCATCTCGTCACTGGCTGGTGAATCAAACACATGAGTTGATTTATTTATGGACATTTCAGCTACCCTGGTAGCCTTTATCATAGTACAAAATAAGAAAAAAACTGAAACGAAATGTTTAAAGTTACAGTAACATTATGAAGGGTTTTCTACTAAATAGCTCTGATTCTAAATACATATCAATATAGATCAACGTCAGTGTAACTCTTAAATGTCTATTCTTATTTTGTACTTTAAAAATGCTGCAGTGACATAAAGTAGTAAGTAAGTTCATTTAATTCATGTGGTTTAATAGACTGCCCAGGGATGAATAAAACTAATCTAACATAGAAGCATGAGATAAGTTTCAAGTAATATTAATTGTTCATTAATATTTTATGCAACATGAGGACTGATTCTATACATGTTAAATATATAGAAATATATTTTTGTCGTTTTCGTACTTTTCTTTTATTTACTTTTATTTCTTGGTGCACCTTAATTATTCTGTTATTTATGCCACAACGAAAAAGCAATTAATTCGCATTACTATTACCTAGTTAACAAGGAGATCGCATATTGTATTGTCATGACCATCCATATACTGGATACCCTCTGCTACAGCTCTTGATTCACACACATAGTCATATAATGCAACTCTTTTCATTAGATTCTAAACACTACAAATACATTTATGATTTGGGGATTTTACAAAGCAGTAATAAATACTTTCACCTCATTACGCACATGAGTTTCTTTAAACTTAACACAAACCTTTTAAATGATATTATCCAAGGCGTTACAAAATGCAGTCACAGACATTTAAGTTCAGGTAAAATATTGTAAAATGTAAACAAAAGTTCACTTGACTATGTACCCAGTCATGCTCTATTCATCTGTGCGCATGTGTTAAACGTTTTCCACCTTTAATTATCTATTTTATGTTTATCAAAAACCTGTGATTGAATAGATTTGATGCTCTGGTCTTTAATATTCACACAAATATCCCCGAAGATTTTTGATGAATGTAAAATAAACTGTGAAAGATGGGAAGCTACCATTTATCATAAAAATGGAGCAGTTGTGGACTCATATTTCTATGAAATTATTAGCTGTCCCACTTCATAATATAGCCGCAATGTGGTCCCTAATAGCAACAGCACTACCATCATCTTCTATATCCTCATTATCATCACCAATGGCTAATGCAGCACTCTCAGCCTCGATTGTCTCTACTAAATTAGCATCTGGAATTTCATCCTTGATAGCAATATTATGGAGAACACAGACTGCTCTTACAAAATGGACTATCAAAAGTAACTTGGTGTGATAGAGTTGACGGAATTTTTGCTTCAGCATACCAAAAGAATGTTCAATAATGCATCTATTTTTTGATAGCTTTATATTGTAATCTATCTGTTGTTGAGTTAGCGTCCCTCGATATTTGAAGGGTGTTAGCAGATTTATTTGAAGAGGGTATCCACTGTCTCTCAGTATAAAATAGGTCCCACATTTTTGTTCTAATGTCTGACTTAGAGTAGAAGTCCGAAAAACTCGATTGTCATGAACTGATCCTGGACAAATAAATCTCTAAACCTTATCTGATGATCACAGCCTGCATCTAAAATGAAGAAAAAGCAACATGAAACAACTTCCTATTATATAAACCTCACTAAAAAACTTAGTCATCAAGTTTCTGAAAATGAATGACATGCAGTAGCAGTGCAGAAGGCAAGAGATGTTGAATAAATCTGCTATTTTGCAATTAGTAAACAACTACCTAACATCTTTATATTGCAGTGAAGCATTGTAATGTATATGTATTTTTCAGAAGAATCTCAATAGCTGCATACAAATAAATATAGCCCATATCATATCACCCCCCAACACATAATTCCGCACTCTATTAAAAAAATATTTCTGAATGACGTCCAACTGTCATGTTTTACCACTTTTACTTACTCCAAAATATGTATTTTCTAAAATATTTAAATGGAAAAGGATCAGGGCATATAAGCGGGGTTTTTGGGCCTGAATTTAACTCAAATTTTAGTGTCACCGCATCTATAAGATTCTTGCATTTAACTATCCAAGAACATACATATTTTAAGCTATCGTCAACATTTTATACTGAAATAAAAAGTAAAATGCTGATGTGAGTTTAAAATACATTTGATATAAGATATTTAAAACTAATAATTACATGTTATCGGTCAACATGACACTCAAGCTATTTTAGGGGTCAAAAACCCTGTTTATAGTCCCTGATCCTTTTCATCCAAACTAAACAAACGTAGACTCAGTAGGTTTTATCTTTGCGCATACAGCAATTACCATGATAAGAAATTGTGACTGAAAAAACAGATTTTAGGAACGCAGCTTAGGAAAAAATTAAGTGTCTCTTTTGAGCTCGCATATGAATTTTACTAGGCACACAATAAAACTAAGATTAATGCTGCACTGGCTTTTCAACAAAATAGGCGCTATGTCTAATTATGACTACCCAGAATTTGGATTATTGTGGTCGATTGGAGGGGATGTTGAACGCCTTTTCCAACGATGAAAAGCCAAACAGTTTTCTGATGAAAATGGATTTCGGATAAATTTGTTGAAATTCCGCATCGAGGCGATCAAGATTCCCGATGGGGCCAATCCCCTGACACCCGTCCTTTATCGTACACGGAACCCAGAAACCCCCAAGTAAGGGTTACTCATTGATATGGGAGGACAACATAAACCTTAAAATAATATTATTAGAGGAAAAGTAAAACATATTGCTGCTGAGATTTCTCCCAGTATTGACTATGTATTTGACCCGAATAGTGATCTTAGACATTATGGTTAAGGTCAGGTCAGTTTTTAAAAGTCATATATGCAACATTTGAAGGTCATGGTTAGGAAACCCCTCACAGACCTCCTATGGAACCCAGACGCCTCCTAATAAGGACAGATGGCAGAGAAGAAGTAACACGTACTATTGTTGAGACTTATTCCAGAGCGGTAATGGGACTTGCTTCAAATGGATGCGTTTGTAAATTACTTGGTTGGTCATGTGTGTAATACCGTACATAGTAATGGAATGCAGATTAACAGATGAAATTTTATTCTGGAATACCGTGAAACTTTATTTTTAGAACCACGTTTTTGCGAACATTGTAATTATTATAAGAGACCCCAGGGATATGCTGCCAATTTTGGGCAGCTTTTGATGACCGAATACAGACAGAACTCTTATTCTCAAGGTTTTGAGCTCGGGAAGAAAGCACACTTTTGACGTTTCAGAACGAATACTATTTCCCAACGCAAATAACAATTACGAACGCTAATATTGTTACTGAGCAGTACAAAGTACACTCTGTAATAATTTCCGAATGCATCCCTGGTCGGACAGACCCTTTAGGCCCCGAAGTCACACTGTTCCACATGTCTACATACTATTCATGGACAGATGGCCGAAAGTCATCTTTTGCCGCTGTACCTATTTCCTTGGTAAAATGTAGGATATACGACTTTGACAAAAAATTCTGACCTTGACAATAACCTTGTCACTGTCAAGATCAAATTCATAATCACCATTGGCTAGTCTTCGTGAAATCCTAGCTACAGTATGTTTCACTTCATAAAATCATTTCAAGACCTATGTTGTCCTACCGAGTTCTATCCATAAATCCTTCTTCAGGGTTTCTGCGTTCCGAAGGCGGTAAAGGTGGAGCGTCAGGGAGCTAGTGCCAATGGGACTTTTGATTGCCATGTTAAAAACTACCTCCATGCGAAATTTCAAGAAATTTAGCCGAAGGGCTGGTTCTTTCTGACAGTCCCAAAAAGTCATTTTCAGCGGATCAGACCAGTTCAGCGCTTTGCTAAGCAGCATCATTCCATTTATTTGTATGGGTGACTGTATTTGACAGTCTCTGGTAGTCAGAAATTCTTTGAAGAAGAGAACAGAAGAATCAAACTGAAAGCAGCCAAGCGGACCGATAGAATGTGAACTAAAAAATATTTCAATGCGTAAATCTCGAAAGGCGCTAATACCACCTAGCAGTATGAATTAATCCATTTAGCTGTCAGTAACAGTGATCGTATCGCGAAGCGATACAACACTATTCAAGCTCACCTTAGCGATAGATATAGTCACTCGTCTCAGCTACAGTGCTCATTACAAGACAGTAAGGCCCCCGAGAACGACAACTGTTTTGACGTGGGTAGCACTGGATAGCGGAGGCTCCGAAATCTCCTTAGCGAAATTAGAGGCGGTAACGGAGTCGAGGTGTCAACGGTATTAACCGTGTTTTATACGGTCATTAATACTCACAAGGGACGTCATCCATTTCTCTGACTATAACAGGGGATGGATAGCCGGCTGTTAATACCTACCAAAGGGAGTGGAATTACTTGAGGTGGAAGTGAAGCATGAGCGTTAGCCGTTAATTGCTAAAAGCGTCGTTTGGCATATTTTTGGTTTCATGATTGGGTGGAATGAACTAATTGAAACTTGGGACCTTACATCACTTATGGGGTATTTCATGTAAAGCGGAGCAATGAAAAACGGTGAGGTTTTAAAATTTGTTCGTGCTGGGCCTATTTCTACGTCTAATAGGTGTGGAAGGGAAAACACGATTTGTTCCTGTGTTATTTAGCTGACAAGTTATGGGCTTATAACAAAAATTGTCGTAATAATAATAATTATTACTATCGATGTAGGAAATTGAGGGCAGGTCATGAAAAATTTCATTCCCACCCAGAGCCACACTTTATAAACATCATTCGAGGTAGCTCTGATATTACCAGCTGTGAAAACTCAGGACAATAATAGTAATAATAATAATAATTTTTTCATCCTGTGGATCACAAGGTGATGTAGGATGAGTCACAATGGAATATTTGTATGAAACCAATTGCACGTGGACATGAATTATATTCAAATATCAAAACAAACACGATGTGTATACACATGAAAAGGAATTAAGATGACAATAAATTAACAATTCGAAATTAAGCAATAGATTGAAACGATTAAAGAAGACAATAAAATTCTTCTATATAGTAGCAAGCTTTATTTAAAATTTTCCTCATATCAAATAATGTCAATAATGTCAGCGGTAGTGATTTTAGATCAATGGCTAGTCTGTTGAACAGTTTGGTTGCCATGTATTTGGTACTCTCCTCCGTTCTCTATGACCTATGTGACGACACCGCCAACTCTTCTCTGCTATTTGTACTGTAAATTCCAGAATTTATAGGACTAAGATGGTCCAGGCATGTTTTGATGTAAACCAATGTATTCAATAGGTAAAATGAAGGCAGCGTTAATGTCTTTAAAGTTGTGGATAATGCCCTGCAACTAAAGCACCTTCCTACCTTTGCCCTAGTTACAATAGCTTTTTTGCATTATAAAAAGCCTTTGTAAATTAGATGATGCTTGCCATGTTTCTATTCCATGAGTCCGAGTAGAATGGTTATGTGCATAGTGAAAAATTAACAATATCCACACTTCCACACAAAAGCAGAGTGTGGTAACTTTTTCACTAACTTTTTCTATATGTGTATCCCATTTACAGTTTTGTGGTATGTAAATTCCTAAAAAATTGTAGTTTCTGCTTGTACTATCGTTCTACCACTTTATTTTATAAGGAAACTACGGTCTAAGTCCATATTAGAGTAGTTAAATCTAATGAAAACTGTTTTTTATTAGCATGAGATAGCGCGAAGCGCCATCTACTGCACCAGAACCGAACCATTGTGGATCGCGCACCGCTGCTATTAGTCGGAGCTATCATGTCAGTTCCCGTTTAATAGCTGTGCCGCTAGATGGCTGATGATTCTTGCCATTGAACGTTAAACAAGATGCTTTTATCCGTCCACAGCCGACGTCAACTACGAGCCGTGATGAAAGAAAGGCAACACCGCGCTCGGACGGCATGGTAGTGCTACCTGTGAACGTCGGCCGCCAGCGGCTGTGTGCTCCGTCTCCGTGTAACGTTCAAGAACTAAATTTAATTTTGGAAAAGAGGACAGTTCGATTCGATACAAATCGTCTGAATATGAAATAGCTCTAAAAAATTTAAAAATACGAAATAATCGTGATATATATGAGTCGCTAATGCAGTTAATCTAATTAAAAGTATTTAGTTTACGTTTTTTGGTGTCAGCACACTGTGATCCAACAGGCCCAGCTTGGAAATGTGGAGTTACCTGTTTGTTTTTAATACATTTACTTTCAGTTTTACTGTTATTTTTCAATTTTACATAATCATTCAAAATTATGTTTGAAAAAATAGACAAAAGCTTAGATACAATATCTGCATAATTGCGGCCACAGATGCAAGTTAAAGAAAATTCACTGTATATAAAGTCAGACTGAATGCTGAGCAAGGTTAACTGACACAAAATAAATTTTTGATTATTGCTTTTCAAGAAGAAAATTTCCAATCTATCTACATTAATAATAGATTCAAAAATGGCATACATATGGTAGAATATGATTGGTACATAACTGGTTGGAATTGACAGTCCTCCTCTTTGCAAATGATCAAAATAAACATTTGTTGTTAATTAACCTTTTTCTTTAACTATTAGCAATTTGCATATCTCGCAGTTTAGGTTTTTAGAGATAGCGTGTGAAGCATATCCAGATATATAAGTCTTAGTACTATCCTCTATGTCACAATTGGCTAAGTAATTTGTCTCAAATACTTCATTGAATATATCCAAAACTTCAGGATTTTGTTTGGTATCCAAGAAATCAAAATTTTCTTGAGTTTCTAACCAGTATTGGAACCTTGTTTTAATTTCTGCTAAAGAAAATGACGATTTCTTTTCATTGTAAATATGCTTCAGCCGTATTTTCTTTTCAGCATTTAAAATTTCATCATATGACGCATTGTAATTGCAGCCACATAAAAATCTATAATTGCCAAATCGTTTTTCTAAATTATCAGTGGTGAATTGTCCAGGCAATACATACTCAATGTCAAATTGATTAAATGAATATTCAATTATATTAAGTACAGTCAGCGTGCTTTGATATTTTCTAACCATATCAGGAATTTTTTTAAAAATTGTACTCCATAATCATATTTATTGGTAATAGGCTTACAAAATTCGTTTCGCTTCAATTCTCCTTTTATTACACTTGTATTACTGACAATATCCCACCAATTCCTGCTTATTTCCAAAAAGTGTGCAGCATCATTAAACTTTAATTCTTTCATAGCAGCTATTGTTGAGTGATGGAATAAATTATCTACAAAATTTGCCTTTCAAATGGATTTGGATGCAATGTTTTATAATTTAATTTATATGCTTTCTTAACTACAGCTTCTTTTTCCAATTGATATACAGCACGAATGTTTTCAAATTTAGCATACTGAATAATATCATTATTGTCAAAATTAGGATATACAAAAGTTTTGTCTAGGTTTTTTAAATTAATCCAATTATTTCTGATACTCTTGAAAATATGCACAACATCATAAGTTAAATATATGTTCTTATCAGGATTATGTGGATTTGGAATAGACTAATTTTCTGATGATGCCTTTGCTAATTTCGTGAACATTGCTCTATTAATTCGGTGATTATCAGTAACAACACAAATAACTTCAAATCCACATTTTTGAAAGGTGTCATTTCATCACCTGTTAGATTTGAAACTGGTAGTAATTTGATAATTTCTGTTATGTTTCCAAATGCTGAAGATAGCATGAAGGCTAAAACAGTTTTAGCCATGTCATTTTTATTTGAGGCATACCCTACAATGTTTTGTGAGCGATAGTCCAGCCTAGATGTTATATAAATTTCATCGATCATCAAAATTACAATTTTTTCTCTTGGAGCTAATTTAATTGCTATATTCAAAAGGTAGTGTTCATTATTCCTATCATTTTTTGGAGATATATCCAGGAGATATGTTGTAAGTATCGCTGACTTGGCCAAATAAAAAATCTTTTAATTAAATTATATGTTGATGATGAGTGGTTATAAAACGTAAAAGCCATTGTTATTGAAAGTGATGTATATCTGTTTTTCCTGTTTTGAATTTGTCTCAGCTGATCAGCAATAATATCTAGATTTTTTGTATATGGAAACATAACCGAGTCATTATAAATTATGGAAATCGCTGTGTCAAGTTGTTCCAAAGCATTCATGATGCAAACTTCAACAGAGTTTTTGTGTTGGTTCTCAGAAAAATAGAAAAAATACCTATTTAGCAGGTTTTCTAATTGGGACCATCTGGTAATTTTGAGATCATATGGCAAAACCCACTTCAAGTCACTAAAAGAAAGCTTACATCCTTTATGAACAACCTGAACTTCCATCTGACCATCAACTATAATCTGTGTATTCAAAGTTAAGATATCATTTTCAAAATCCAATTTATAAAAATATACCTTTCCATCAGATAATTTATTATTCCATTTCTGTGAGGCTTTAATTTTTGAAAATGAAGAATGTAATTCCTGAAAGTCTTATCCATATCATCGAAATTCTGGATAGCTTTTTCATGAATTTGCACGTTTTCAATAGTTGAAATCCTCAGCGTCCTGAGGCGCGAACAGCCACAGTCACACTTCTTAGTTTATTTTTAAAGCACAGAAGCACTACAACTGGAGTCTATTTCTCATATATTATAGCCACCGATCACTTTGAACACATACACACACTTTGAAGCTTAGAAAACAAGCTTATATCTTAATTACAGCCTTTGCGATTCCCAAATCACAAATTGAAAAGGTTATGTTTTCTCAGCGTTTTGAGCGGCGGGAGTAACACTACCACCTACGTTGCCAGATTTCTTTGTTCACGGCTCGCAGTTGACGTCGGCTATGGACCGTCCGACCAGGAAAAGAAGGCAGCCAACCGTGGACAGCAATTTCGTGCTTCTTCGCAACTCATCATTGTTCAACATGTTTTTTTGTTGTTTGAAACCATGCCGTTATTACTGAACCATTGCTCTGCACCAGCTAAGGTCGTGTTGGCGTTCCTGACCATGGACTCGGTCTCTTTCATTAACAAGTGAGGAGGCATCGTTAGCATACATTACAAAGGATTTCTTTCAGAGCATTAGTTCGCAGTGAAGTATGTAGTGGTTCAGTGAGATGCACGGCAGCTCGGCAACAGTGTACAAAATTGTAGGTCGAGCGAGGGGAGCCGGGAGCCAGTTGCCCTCCGCCGTCAAGAGTGGCAAGTGGCTTTTTTGGATGCATAGTTGTTGAAGTAAAATGAGTTGCTATCGAAAAAAAAATTGGATCACTAGAAATAAGCCAGCTTTCATGT